GAGGATCGAACTCACTACGCAGTCGTAATTGTTCTAGGGAGACAAACTTGCTAACCGCTACACCACCTCGAGGTGCTCTGATTCCCCAAGCGTGGCTTAGATGTGGAATAAGGCCGACATTATGGAGCACCCAGTGAGGATCGAACTCACTACTCAGTCGGAATTGTTCTCACGAGACAAGCTTGCTAACCATTACACCGCCCCGAGGTGGCATGAATTTCCAAGTTTTGCTTAGATATGGCGCAAGGCCGAAAGTAGAGGGCACCCAGTGAGGATCGAACTCACTACTCAGTCGTAATTGTTCTAGCGAGACAAGCTTGCTAACCATTACACCGCCTCGAGGTGCCATGGATTTCGAAGCGTTGCTTAGATGCGGCACAAGGCCGAAAGTTGGGGGAACCTAGTGAGGATCGAACTCACTACTCAGTCGTGATTTTACTAGCAAGACAAGACAATCTTGCTAACTATTACACCGCCTCCAGGTGTTCTGTTTTTCAAAGCGTAGCTTCGATGTGGCACAAGGCCGAAAGTAGGCGCATTTTCAGTTTGAGCAATGCTAAATATGTTCCTACCTATAATGACTGGAACAAAACACTACAGATCTGAATGAGTACAAAATACACCTACAGCATAACCAGTTATATTTTATTTGTATAGTGATTTTAAAACCATGTTTTAATATACAGGGTGTCTCCAAAAATATATGTACACACTTTTAGATCTTCGTCGTTCAGCAGACCGCACCCACTTTAGACTTACTCTTAAAAGATAAAGTTTACCTTACAAAGACAGCAACAATCACTGAAATGAAAGTTTCCTTAGAGCAAGAATGCAGCCAAATAAATACCAAAATGCTGAGTGCTGCTTTGTGATTCCATAGCGTCACGTTGCCAATAAAGTCTGGACCATAATGGACATCAGTTTGAAAACATGATGACAAAAGAGCATGCATTTATAAAAATAAAAAAAAAGAATGTCGTCTTCATCTTCACATGAGTGGAATAATGTGGGTTAAATCATGACCAGGTATTGAGAGAGTAGGTTTTTTTTTGAATTTTTTTTTTTTAATGAAATTATATGGCAAATATGGCGACAACGGATTCACGTCTAGATATTTTAGAACATCGCTAATTGAACACCGTATGTCTAGGCCAGAGAATTCATGTGGACTCAGCATAATGACAAAATAAAACTTAGATATTGATTTCTAGCCGAAAAATGATGTTTATACAGAAATTTACAGAAGTAAGACAGAAAGAAAACTATAAAAACTCCTCCAGAAGGTAGTGAAGGAAAGGCAGAAGAAAGGACTAAGTATCGATTGCAAGAAAAGAGGATGCATTGTTGTTAGCAAAAGGGACAGGCCAACATACAAATTACAAACTGGAGATACCGAAATCAAGCAAGTACAAAAATGTAAATATCTGGGGAGTATTTTGTCAGAGAAATGGATTGTGCGACACTGAAATTCAAGGGTGCATTGGGATAACGGAAGAGGCCTTCCAAAACCTAAGCAAAGTATTAAGAAACATGAAAATTTCGTTAGAAACAAAGAAAAGATTACTGAATTGTTACGTAATGTCAGTCCCCCTTTATGGCAGTGAATGCTCGAAAATCTTATCACAAATGAAGAATAGACTTGAAACAAAAATTGAAACAAAAAGGCCAGTCATACTTAACATCAGAAAGAGAGAGTTGAAATTTCTAGTGTACATAACGAGGAAAGATGGCTTGGAAAATTTGATACTCACAAAACAGATTGAAGGTAAGACGGACAGAGGATAAAACGTATAATTTACCTAACGAGCTTGAGTAAATGAAATGGAGAATAGTATTTAGGAGGAATAACACGAAAGCCAAAACTACAAAGGATTGGAAATTGTGGAGAGCCAAAGTCCTGAAGGAATATGTCACATAGACAAAGAAGAGGGCTTTTCTTACAACTTACATATGTATATAAGATGGGTACTCGACTAGTATAATAAATATGCGAGTTTCGATTTATAGTATATTTTTATTAGAAATATCTATTATATCTTATAGACAGGCGTGAAATTGTTGTTTGTCGTATTGTATATTGTTCTGTGTCGTAAAGAAAGAAAGAGAAAAAAAACAAAGAACCAAAGAAAGAAAGTAAAAAGAAAAATTCAATATGGAAAGACGCGAAGAATCTCTAAAACAAAAAAGAGATAAAAAGAGCCACTGTATAAAGACGGGAAGAATTGGTACAGAAATGAAGACAGCAAATCAGAAGTAGTGAAATATCCAACAACGAAAGACTGGTAGAATCGTGAAAGAAGGAAAGAAAGAAAGAAAGAAAGAAAGAAAGAAAAGAAGAGACACTGTAGAATTATGGGAAAACTCGCTAAAAAAAAGAAAGATTCAACATACAAAGACGGCAAGAATCACGAAAGAAAGAATGAAATTCAAAAGAAAGAAAGAAAGAAAGGACGGATGAAAGAAAGACCCAACGTAGAAATACAGGAAGAATCGTGAAAGAAAAAGAAAAAGTAAAACAGAAAGCTAGAGAATAAGAGACAATGCAGAAAGACAAGAAGAATCGCTAAAGTAAAAGACAGAAAGATCCAACATAGAAAGAAGGGAAGAATCACAAAAGGAAGAATGAATGAAGAAAAACAGAAAGAAAGAACGAATATAGAAAGACTGGAAAAATTGTTAAAGAGGGAAGGAAAAGAAAATGTGAAAAATCGCGAAAGAAAGAAAAACAAAAAAGAAAGAAAGGACGAAAGAAAGAAACAGCGTAGAAAATCGGGAAGAATCGCCAAAGAAAAAAGAAAGAAAGAACGCATGTAAAAAAGAAATAATTAACATAGAAAGAAAGAAAACCAACGAACCAACCGACAAACCAACGAACCAACGAACCGACGAATCAACGAACCGACGAACCAACAAACCGACGAACCAATGAACCAACAAACCGACGAACCGACGAACAAACAAGCCGACGAACCAACGAACCAACAAACCGACGAACCGACAAACCAACGAACCAACCAAAACGGGATGAATTGCTTAATGAAAGAAAGAGCTAATCTAGAAAGACAGGAATAGTCTCAATTCAAAGAAAGAAAGGACACAAAAATAAAGAATGAAACGGCAACGTAGAAAGGCGGGAAGAATCGCAAACCAAAGATATAAAGACAACAAAAAGAAAGAACTAACGTGGAAAGAGGGAAAGAAAGAAGGAATAAAAGGAAAACCAAGCAACAAACAAACAACAGACGTTTAAATCCAAAGAAAAAGAGTCGGTATACAAAAAGAAAAAAGAAAAGAAAGAAAGAAATAATCACTTTTATAGGTAAAACAGAAATAATTATCAGAGAACATTAAAGGAATCTAATGTCTTGTAGAAAATGACAATGCAAAATAAACAGACTAAAATTAGAAGTTTAAAAAAAATTGTTTGTTTTCGTTTCTGATGTTTTTACTTCTTCCATTCTGTATCGTTTCTTTTCTCCATTGATATTAATTTTTAAACTTTTAACTTCATTTTCCCACCTGGCCAGAACTGTTTAACCTGCTTTTCAATTTGCTTCATTCAATTATGTGTTCATATATATATACATATATATATATATGTGTGTGTGTGTATATATATATATATATATATATATATACACACATATATATATGTATATATCATACTCACACACATATATATATATATATATATATTTACACACACACACACACACACATATATATATATATATATATATATATATATATATACAAACGAGTTTCGTTAAATAATTTAGACACGTTCTGTCTACTTATTTTCGATAAGATTCTTTCATATTCGCGAATAAGCTTTTTTTGTGCGATTGTTAAAAGACGCGAGGAAAACACCATGTTGGTTCATACTGATTTTATTCCGAGTACTGTCAACATTGCATAATGTCATCATCAGGGTATTTTTACGTTGGGACTTACTTTCTTTCTTACTTACTTTCTTTCTTACTTTCTTACTTTCTTTCTTTCTTTTTTTCTTTCTAGTTTCTCTTTTTCTTTCGTGATTCTTGCCGTCCTTGTATGTTGGCTCTTACTTTTTTTAGCGAGTTTTCCCGTCATTCCACAGTGTCTCTTCCTTTCTTTCTGTATGACTTTCTCGCGATTCTCCCAGTCTTTCGATGTTGGATATTTCTTTATTTCGCTTTTGCTCTCTTCCTTTCTTTATCTTTACGTCTTATCGAAAATAAGTAGACAGAACGTGTCTAAGTTATTTAACGAAACCTGTTTGAATGAAAACATGCTCCGTTTACATTATTCGGCCTATTTCCCTCATCTTTGTCGCCATATTTATTACAACGTTTGGCCGTTGTACACTCCGGCCTTCTTCAGGTGGTTGGAATGTGAGAGTATGAGTTCAATACCCGGCTTACGGCAGTGGAGAACTTTGAGAGGGGAATGAACAGGAGATAACAGATTGCTGACATCGATTAAACATGGCACGTGGAACTAGAACAGTCTCCCCCCAGTGAGCGAAATAAATGGTTTAGTTCGACATTCCAACCGCCTGAAGAACGCCGGAGCGTACAACGGCCGAAACGTTGTAATAAATATGGCGACAAAGATGAGGACAATAGTCCGAATAATATAAATAGTGTACATAATACCTCATTTCAGAAATATAGACAGATAATGAAAACCTGCTGCTGAAATACACGCATTTCATATATATATATATATATATATATATATATATATATATAATTTGGCATTCGTTTTTGCCTGACTATCGAATTCCTTTGAAAGATGAAAGAAAGATTCTTTCATATTCGCGAATAAGCTTTTTTGTGCTATTGTTAAAAGACGCGAGGAAAAACACCATGTTGGTTCATACTGATTTTATTCCGACTACTGTCAACATTGCATAATCTCATCATCAGGATATTTTTACGTTGGGTCTTTTCTTTCTTTCTTTCTTTCTTTTTTCATTTCTAGTTTCTCTTTTCTTTCGTCATTCTTGCCGTCCTTGTATGTTGGCTCTTACTTTTTTTTTTAGCGAGTTTTCCCGTCATTCCACAGTGTCTCTTCCTTTCTTTCTGTATGACTTTCTCGCGATTCTGTAATAAATATGGCGACAAAGATGAGGACAATAGTCCGAATAATATAAATAGTGTACATAATACCTCATTTCAGAAATATAGACAGATAATGAAAACCTGCTGCTGAAATACACGCATTTCATATATATATATATATATATATATATATATATATATATATAATTTGGCATTCGTTTTTGCCTGACTATCGAATTCCTTTTGAAAGATGAAAGAAAGATTCTTTCATATTCGCGAATAAGCTTTTTTGTGCTATTGTTAAAAGACGCGAGGAAAACACCATGTTGGTTCATACTGATTTTATTCCGACTACTGTCAACATTGCATAATCTCATCATCAGGATATTTTTACGTTGGGTCTTTTCTTTCTTTCTTTTCTTTCTTTTTTCCTTTCTAGTTTCTTTTTCTTTCGTCATTCTTGCCGTCCTTGTATGTTGGCTCTTACTTTTTTTTTTCGAGTTTTCCCGTCATTCCACAGTGTCTCTTCCTTTCTTTCTGTATGACTTTCTCGCGATTCTGTAATAAATATGGCGACAAAGATGAGGACAATAGTCCGAATAATATAAATCGTGTACATAATACCTCATTTCAGAAATATAGACAGATAATGAAAACCTGCTGCTGAAATACACGCATTTCATATATATATATATATATATATATATATATATATATATATATATATATATAATAAAAATTTGGCATTCGTTTTTGCCTGACTATCGAATTCCTTTGAAAGATGAAAGAAAGATTCTTTCATATTCGCGAATAAGGATTTTTGTGCTATTGTTAAAAGACGCGAGGAAAAACACCATGTTGGTTCATACTGATTTTATTCCGACTACTGTCAACATTGCATAATCTCATCATCAGGATATTTTTTTTGGGTCTTTTCTTTCTTTCTTTTTTTCATTTCTAGTTTCTCTTTTTCTTTCGTCATTCTTGCCGTCCTTGTATGTTGGCTCTTACTTTTTTTTAGCGAGTTTTCCCGTCATTCCACAGTGTCTCTTCCTTTCTTTCTGTATGACTTTCTCGCGATTCTGTAATAAATATGGCGACAAAGATGAGGACAATAATCCGAATAATATAAATAGTGTACATAATACCTCATTTCAGAAATATAGACAGATAATGAAAACCTGCTGCTGAAATACACGCATTTCATATATATATATATATATATATATATATATATATATATATAATTTGGCATTCGTTTTTTGCCTGACTATCGAATTCCTTTGAAAGATGAAAGAAAGATTCTTTCATATTCGCGAATAAGCTTTTTTTGTGCTATTGTTAAAAGACGCGAGGAAAACACCATGTTGGTTCATACTGATTTTATTCCGACTACTGTCAACATTGCATAATCTCATCATCAGGATATTTTTACGTTGGGTCTTTCTTTCTTTCTTTCTTTCTTTCTTTTTTCCTTTCTAGTTTCTCTTTTTCTTTCGTCATTCTTGCCGTCCTTGTATGTTGGCTCTTACTTTTTTTTAGCGAGTTTTCCCGTCATTCCACAGTGTCTCTTCCTTTCTTTCTGTATGACTTTCTCGCGATTCTGTAATAAATATGGCGACAAAGATGAGGACAATAATCCGAATAATATAAATAGTGTACATAATACCTCATTTCAGAAATATAGACAGATAATGAAAACCTGCTGCTGAAATACACGCATTTCATATATATATATATATATATATATATATATATATATATATATAATTTGGCATTCGTTTTTTGCCTGACTATCGAATTCCTTTGAAAGATGAAAGAAAGATTCTTTCATATTCGCGAATAAGTTTTTTTGTGCTATTGTTAAAAGACGCGAGGAAAACACCATGTTGGTTCATACTGATTTTATTCCGACTACTGTCAACATTGCATAATCTCATCATCAGGATATTTTTTTTACGTTGGGTCTTTTTTCTTTTTTTTTTCATTTCTAGTTTCTCTTTTTTTCGTCATTCTTGCCGTCCTTGTATGTTGGCTCTTACTTTTTTTTTTTTTATCATTTCCGTCATTCCACAGTGTCTCTTCCTTTCTTTCTGTATGACTTTCTCGCGATTCTGTAATAAATATGGCGACAAAGATGAGGACAAATAATCCGAATAATATAAATAGTGTACATAATACCTCATTTCAGAAATATAGACAGATAATGAAAACCTGCTGCTGAAATACACGCATTTCATATATATATATATATATATATATATATATATATATATATATAAAATTTGGCATTCGTTTTTTGCCTGACTATCGAATTCTTTTGAAAGATGAAAAGAAAATTCTTTCATATTCGCGAATAAGCTTTTTGTGCTATTGTTAAAAAGACGCGAGGAAAACACCATGTTGGTTCATACTGATTTTATTCCGACTACTGTCAACATTGCATAATCTCATCATCAGGATATTTTTACGTTGGGTCTTTCTTTCTTTCTTTTTTTCATTTCTAGTTTCTCTTTTTCTTTCGTCATTCTTGCCGTCCTTGTATGTTGGCTCTTACTTTTTTTTAGCGAGTTTTCCCGTCATTCCACAGTGTCTCTTCCTTTCTTTCTGTATGACTTTCTCGCGATTCTGTAATAAATATGGCGACAAAGATGAGGACAATAGTCCGAATAATATAAATCGTGTACATAATAATCATTTCAGAAATATAGACAGATAATGAAAACCTGCTGCTGAAATACACGCATTTCATATATATATATATATATATATATATATATATATATATATATATATATATATAATTTAATTTCGTTTTTTGCCTGACTATCGAATTCCTTTGAAAGATGAAAGAAAGATTCTTTCATATTCGCGAATAAGCTTTTTTTTTAGTGCTATTGTTAAAAGACGCGAGGAAAACACCATGTTGGTTCATACTGATTTTATTCCGACTACTGTCAACATTGCATAATCTCATCATCAGGATATTTTTACGTTGGGTCTTTCTTTCTTTCTTTCTTTCTTTTATTTTTTTCCTTTCTAGTTTCTCTTTTTTTCGTCATTCTTGCCGTCCTTGTATGTTGGCTCTTACTTTTTTTTAGCGAGTTTTCCCGTCATTCCACAGTGTCTCTTCCTTTCTTTCTGTATGACTTTCTCGCGATTCTGTAATAAATATGGCGACAAAGATGAGGACAATAATCCGAATAATATAAATAGTGTACATAATACCTCATTTCAGAAATATAGACAGATAATGAAAACCTGCTGCTGAAATACACGCATTTCATATATATATATATATATATATATATATATATATATATATAAAATTTGGCATTCGTTTTTTGCCTGACTATCGAATTCCTTTGATAGAACTTTATCGTTTTGATCTAAATTTTAATTTCTAGAACAGTAGTATCAATTTCTGCAATGAATGATAAATCATGTGACTTCGTTTAAAATGAAAATTCTGAAATTTCTGACACCGATGAAATGTCTAGAAACATCGCTGAAATTGAATATTCTGACATTTCTGACACTGCTAAAATATCAAGTGACTTTGTAGAAAATGAAAACTCTGAAATTTCAGACTCTATTCATGATACTACCAAGAGAGATAGTGCTGTATCTAGCAGTAATAGATAATTTCATAAAATTCAGAACATATCAAGTGCCTTCGTTCAAAATGACCCCCCACCAAAAAAAAATACAGAATTTTCTCTTTGTGGCTCTCATATATTGAGTGATAATGTTATATCTAATGACAAATCTCTAATTGAGACCAATAAAACATCAAATAACTTATATGAAGAAACCCCTGTTAGTGGTTATGACAAAGAAAGAATTAAACATTTTGAAAATTGTATAACATATAAGGGTAATTGTTACTATGTAAAGTTGCCCTGGGATGAAGTGCAAATTAACTTTGTCCCTTCTAAGCATGTTGTAGCCGTTAATGTACTGAAGAGAGTTTTAAAATCATTAGTGCAGCGGAATCTCTATGAAGAATATACTGAAGAATTGATGTAATGGAATAGCCAGTTACCCCCATGAATGATTACACTATAGGTGGTAAGTACCTATAAAGTCCACTGTCTATTGAGAGACTCGAGGTCAGAGAGAGGAAGTGAGAGCGAGACGACGCAAGCACATCCGACCTTCCAGTTAGTGGCACTCACTACTAGATTGACTTGTGTGTATAACTGTACCGTATTTCATATTGTACTGGTTGTGTATAATAAACTTTTCTTCTAGTATCCACCTGGTGTTATGTGTTTATTCCCTTAGCACGGAATATAACGAGAATTTAAGCAAGAAGAATAAGGAATCATAGAACAGATCGATATTTCTCCTGACAGGTCTGAAGACTACATTTTGGCCTGGGTTTTGAAGACCAAACAAATACCCAAATCAGACCCGTCTTTAGTTTTTCGCTTAAGAATAAAGGGACTTCTTCACTAAATAAAGAAGTCTATCCTGGCATAAACCTCACGGATAACATGCTGCAATTATTGTTGAATTAAATTTGAAGTTTTTAGCTTCGATTTTTGAAACATGGTAATTCATGTGTAGCGAAGGAACCATATTTTAAATCAGTTAATATATATATATATATATATATATATATGAAAAACTAGGTAATCCGTATGGGTAAACCTAAAGAGGATAAAATCCAGAGAGCTCAATGTAAATCCAGAGCAAATAATTTAAATAAAAACAGACCACTTTAAGGTTCCATGTAATAAATTGTTTCACCATAGCCCTTTTAAAGGACTGCGGATCATCAGACTTTACTTCCAAACAAAAAATGAAAAAAAAAATTTACACATTTTTGACGGGCCGTATTAAACATATGTAAATTAACGAAGCGAGGAAGTGAGGGGGGGGAGAGAAGACATGAGTGAGTTAGCAGATATTGACACATTTAAACGGTTAAACTAACGGAAGTTATTTATTGATATCGAAGGGGTGGAGAAGAGAAAACCCATAGAGAGAAAAAGAGAGAAGGAAATTAAGAGAGAAGATGTCACTAATTTTCTTTGTAAAAAAAGGCTAGAAACAGAAGCTGTTATTTTGTTTTACTTTGAAAGTGTTATTTTGGGGGTTCATAAAGATTATAATGTTTGATATAAATTTGAATGTCTCTCTAAACTGTCCACAAATAATTTAATTTGATGTTTGTTAGTGATTTAAATTTTTTTTTTTAAATTTTGGGGATTTTCTATGAAATAGTCGATTAGAAAAATATTCATAGAAAGTACATTAAAAGAATAAAATTTTATTTGAAAAATATAAGTTTACTTCTAGTAATCTTTTTTTAATCTCTTTAAAAAATTTTATTATTGATTATTAAGTTGACATCTCCATCCGTTTGAATTTTGTTCATGAATTTAACTCGTGACTATTTCTAGATAGGTAATCTCTTTTACTTAAATTTTAGTCAAGTTAATATGGGGTAATATTTGAGGGTAATATTAAAGATCTTGCTCTGTCATATACTGCATACACACCTATGCAAATATTACATATACACACGTGTGTATATGTGATATTATTATAGATATATATTTATCATACGGATTACCTAGTTTTTCATAAAATATATATATATATATATATATATATATATATATTAAGTTATGAAGAACTTGGTAATCCGTATGGGTAATCCCAAGGAGGATGAAATCCTGAGAGCTCAATGTAAATCCAGAGCTAATATTTAAAAATTAAACAGAATAACTTTAAAGGTACCATTATAATAATTTATTTCACCAGAGCCCTTTTTATAAATTATTATTATGGTACCTTAAAGTGGTCTGTTTTTCTTTTTAAATATATTGGAAATCATTTGAAAATCTGGGTTATTAATTGTTTATTTGCATGCTCTTTAGATGTTAAGATTTCCATATGTTCCTTCACTTTCGCCTCAGACGTTTTTCAAGCATTATATATATATATATATATATATATATATATATATATATCTTACGGACATCAGGAAGGCTTTTCTAATGATAAACCTTCGGGCAGAATAAGATAAAAATTGATTTTCTTCTTTTTATGAAATATAGAGAACGCTTGATTTTTTTTATCCCTACATTTTTTTAAATTTGGTGTTTTTTGCCAATCCGTAGACGTGATTAAACCTCATGTCAATAGATTTCCCGAAGATCAATACATCGAAAAGAATTATAAAAGAATTCTTATGCTGATAACTTCATGAAAACTGGTAATTCTCCTGAAAAGCTATTGTATCATTATCGATAACCAATAGACAGAACAAGTGAAGGGAACATTGACTTGAGATCTAGCAATAGTAATTTTGAAGAGTTGAAAACACAAATGAGGAAATATAGAAAATTTGTTGAAGATGGTTGCGAGTTAGACAAGGTATTAGGCTACAGAGTAAAAGAAATTGATAAAGAAACGAAAGAATCAGTGATTAAAAAGCAAATTCTTAAAATTAATTCTTCAGTTAACGATGACATAAATGTGACTAAAAAAAGTATTAGTTCTGCTTCGAATAATTTTAACTCATATTTGGAATTTAATATAGAGTTTGTTTGTAGAATACTGTTTTTAATAAATGTGTTGTTTGTATAATAATAATAATAATAATAATCAACAAACTTCCAATAAACTTAATTTGCCTATTGAGCATTCTTTTTGAGGAGAGAGTATAGAAAGATTATATTTTCATTCTGTAAAATAAGTTTAGTCACTAGCTAAAGATGTCACGGTGGAGTAATGGATAGCGGCTCGGATTGAAACACTAGAAATCCGAGTTCGAATCCATTATATTCACTTTCGTGTTAATAACCCTGGAAAATGTATAAGTTTTCTTCCCTCCCCCAGCAGGACAGATCGGGTTCTGTAAAACTCTGAATTCGAAACATGAGGTTGGGGGTTGTGCAGTCGGCTAACAACCTACTCACTTAAAAAAAAGCTGTCTTGTTATAGAAACTGCAACGATATCTTTAGACCCTATATTCCCCAAGGAATTTAAAGGCATAATATAATATACATATAAATATGTCATAAATAAATCTTTTAATCCCTAGGTTGTTTTTTACACGTTCTTTATAGAAAACTGTGTTTTTAAGAAAGACTATAAAAATGTTACAGCTACATAAATCTTTTAGATTAAGCGGTTAAAAACCGCCAAAATTATTTTGTGAATTATTGCGGAATCATTTTGAATTCGTGGGAAAATATTTTATTCTATTTACTGACCAATCAGAGACGTTCTCGCATGCCCTTACAAAATTCGGGATGGGACCTGTCGGAGGCTTTATTTCCTAATAAAAGGCGTCGGAGTCAGCAGATAATATCAGAAAACATTTAGTCCTGAAGGCTTTCAGGTCATGAAAGAAAGTATTAGGACTTAATGGGTGATAGCACTTAAAAGGGTCAATTGCGAAAAATTTTTGAGATTCACATTTGAAAATCACCGAAGTGAATGGAAGGAAAAAGACATCTGTTTTCACATGGACTCTGAAAACGAAGTGAATAAAGAAAATTCCCAAATATCGTTAAGACCTCAGGAGATAGCCAAACAGAAATAAAATTGAAAGACATTTAAAAAATATCGTTGAATGACGCTCGTGGTATAAGCCAAAGTAGTTTTTTTTCCGTTTTTCTATTCGGTGGATGCATCTTTGTTTTTGTGACTTTTCTGAATTTTGTTTTCTTAAAGTTTTTTTCTTTTTTCTTTTTCAAAAGTCTAATCATATTTTTTTCGGATATTTGAATTATTATCCCGCATTAGTTTTTGTATAAGGCGCACACAAAGTAATTTTTGTGCAAGCTTTTGTATGTACATTTTTATATTTTGGGTACTGTAATATATATTTGTCTTTTCTAATTTCGCGCAGTGGGTGTATCTTGTATGTTTTGCGCATTATTCAACTTCCGGGATAGGAGAGACACGTCTTCTCTTATGCCATTCTATACCTACTAACTAAATTCTTGTACATGGCAAAGAAATTTGGTTTGTTGTTGGGAGTTAACATTTTGTAGCATTACAAACGGAGGACAGAGGAAAAGAAAAAAGTAAAATAAAATTATTGATCTAAGATGGACGAAATAATTATTATTTCTTTTAGCTCTAAAAGGAAATAAAGATAGAAGTAAGAAGCCACCTTTAAATAGGAAAAAAAAGGAGAATCGCTATAGAAAGGAAGAGAGAGAAAGAGTCAGTGTATAAAGTCGGATAGGGTTGCGAAAGAAAGAAAGAAAGAAAGAAAGCGTCAACGTAGAAAGAAAAATAGAACGAAAAGAAGAAAGAGTCAATGCAGAAAGAAAGAAAGAAAGAAAGAAAGAAAGAAAGAATGAACGAGTCAATTTAGAAATAACGAACGAGTCAACGTAGATAGACTGTACTACAGAAAGAAAGAAGGGAAGAAAGACAATAAGGAAGAAAGAATCAACACAGAAAGAAAGACAGACAGAAAAATTGAAGGAATCAACGTGAAAGACCGGAACAGCCGCGAAAGAAAAAAAAAAAAAAAAAAGAAGCAAATAAGAGTGAAAGAAAGAGTCAATTAAGAAAGTCAACCTAAAACGACCGGAAGAAAGAAAGAAAGAAAAAAAAAGAAAAAGAAAGACATCCTCAAACTAGAGAGAAAGAAAAAAAAAGAAAGAAAGCTTCAACGTAGAAAGAAAGAAAAAAGAAAAACGAAAGACATCCTCAACGGAGAAAGAAAAAGAAAGACACCTTCAACACAAGCAAAGAAAGAAAAAAGAAGGACATCCTTAACGCAGAAAGAAAGTGTTGTAGAGTAGTTTTCACAGTGGAGGCTTGTATTTCGCTAAGTCGGTCCTAAAAGGGTCCGACGTACAAAACATTAGGAACTTGAAATAAGAGTTAATGACGCAGCAATCTAGTTGTGATGGTTGATACTTCAATGTCCGACATCGACTGACTCACTCAACACCACTGAGCTCAACTGGCCACTGCTACTACTACTTATTATCTGTGGGAGAGTCTATTACAATAGAATAGGTAATGTTCTGGTATAACAGAAAGAAAGAAAGAAAAACAAAAAACAATCGTCAACGTAGAAAGAAAACCAAAACCAAATCGTCAACGTAGAAAGTAAAAAAAAAAAGAAACAAATCATCTGATCTGGCTCTTTTAAAGGTAGAGGATATCAGGAGCAGCCAGGTACAGGAAACAAATCATTTTTACTGTATCGTTAGCGATGGATCATATGCACGAGTTGCACTTGAGGTCAGGTGTGAGTTTAAGGTCCAACTTTCTCAAGGCCCAAGGACGGGTCCTTTCATCACTACTGTTTGTAGTTCGGATATTTCAAATTGGGCTCAAGCTCTAAATTTATGCGCTGATTCATCAAAACCTATCACCATATCGTGCACAATTGGCTGTGATGACTGTACCTTATACCGGCCATTTAGCGGATATATTGGGCTTCGTCTATTTGTAACCCAGTGTAATTGGCGTGCTTCTCTCATTCACTCGCTACTACTTCTACATTTTAGGAAAAGCTATGACAAAGTGGCAAAACTTTTCGTGTGACGCGTTTAGTCCTTTAGTTTCTCACTGTAATGAATCTGGCCATTATATTGATTTTAAAACTGCTACTTTAATTAAAAGATGAAACGATTTACTAAAAAAGAAATGAAAAAAAGAATGACACAAAAAATGTTCCACCTTGTCATAGATTTTCCTAAAACTGTTCATATATAGATTACAAAATGTATATATTCTTTTTCCACGCACACACACACACACACACACACACACACACACACACACACACACACACACACACACACACACATATATATATATAAGTATATATGTATATATACATACATAAAGTAGAGTAGATAAATTGAACGATGGAATTAGTACGAAAAATATTTATTAATATTAACCATGTGACAAAAATGAAGCACGGAGATTAAGGTTCCAAGTTCGGAACTTTCGAACACGCCTGTGTTCTTCATCATCGGATGTGAGAAACAAACAGAATGACCGTGGAAACTATCCAACATTAGTTTTTTGAGGTGGGTAGAATCCAATTGTAGGTGGAATTGTTACACAAATCCGTTCCCTGTTTGATTTCTTGTTGTGCGAAACTTAATGTGAAAATAACCTCAGATTTAAAAATTGTGATTAGTTGTCGGTGGTAGAGGAGTGAGATGTTGAATATAGGGGAAAAGGTTTGTAGGACCAGGGGCGGTATTAAGGATCAGTGTGGGAACATAGCGAGATTGTCACTAAAAGCAATTGAAAGAGAAAAAGAAGAGAGAGAGAGAGAGAAAGAGAGAGAGAGAGAGGGGGGCGGATGGAAATAGCACAAAAAGGGGTAAAGAATTTACACACCAAGCAATGAGAGTGCCACTAGCACGCAAGGGGTTACAACGAGTGGAGCAATAAAGAGGCATGATAGAGGAAAGAATCAAGAGAAGGACGGGGACTTAGATCAAGGCATCTGAAGATGCCGACTGACATTGCATTTGAATAATTGAAGATTATAGGGAAGCAAGTAAGAGGAAGGGATTTCCAAAAACAGGAAGTGCGAGACATGAAGCTATGAGAGTAGAAGAGGCGGCTACATTTAACCGTTCCGACAGTGATATCCAGGTAATCTGTTTGCAGACAACTTCCTGTCATGACTCATTTCTTAAAAAAGACATTTTCTTTTTCTCTTTGTTTGAATTTAAAGTAAGTCATTTTCGATTGGTTGATCAAGGTAGGGCCCTGATTTTTTTCTCGATAAAAGAGGAGATATTTTGCTTTTGAAATTAAATTAATCGATCATTCGCCAGTAATTTATAATCGCCTGAGGTGACGCATTAATATGCGTGGAAACACAATTGCAATTGTGTAGCGATTGTCTAACATGTTATTGATTTAATATGCTAAAATAAATTATATATATATATATATATATATTTTAAAATTTAAAGTACAGGATTGGGGAAACTGTAAGACAGAAGTGTGGAAAATGTTTATTTGTGATATATATATATATGTGATTTACTTGTGATATATATATATGTGATTTAAAGCGTCATATATATATATATATGTATATATATATATATATATATATATATATATATATATATATATATATAAACGATATATATTTTAATATTTAAAGTACAGTATTGGGGAAACTGTAAGACAAAGTGGAAAATGTTTATTTGTGATATATATATATATATGTGATTTTACTTGTGATATATATATGTAATTTACTTTGTGATATATATGTGATTTACTATGTGATATATATATATATATATATATATATATATATATATATATATATATATATATATATATATAACGATATATATTTTAATATTTAAGGTACAGTATTGGGGAAACTGTAAGACAAAGTGGAAAATGTTTACTTGTGACGCGTTTCATCTTTCAAGAACTTCATAGTTTGGGAGTCACAATGGTATGATGAAGGGTACTACTACGACAATGTCTCTGGACGAATATATCCAGGTGATTTATACATGAAAATTCTGTGGGTGTGTCTGTCTCACTCCCTATAAGTCTTCCACCAACAAATACACACATTAAACCACTGGAAAACGAACAAAACTAGCAAACCCAAACTGAAAAAAAGTAGATCTCACGTATACCATCTTCTACACAAAGGTGAGGGATCTAAGTTCAAAATCTTCCTCCGTCCAAACCCTACTTCCTGTTACTATCTGAAACCGGTATCAATGCCTCAAGCACAAAATAGGAACTCAGAGTCCCGGACCACTCACTTCTTATAGCAAAACACGATCACCTAAATTGTTAGGGTCACTGACTCGGAATCTATATCAAGGTCTAATTTTCCCTTGGCAAGGACGAAAATAAAAAAAACCCCCCCCCAAAAAAAAAACGAGAATCCTGATCTCCCGTTTATGTGCTTCCGCATAGCACTTATCCATAGTGCCACATTGATTTTGCTCTCTATTGCCCTAAGGACAAAGACACGGTAATCTTCGATCGAATATCTGAAAATATCGATAATATACTCACACACTTTCTCTCGGCTAGCTTTCATATCTGCGGTGATTTCAATATCCACCATAAAGAATGGTTAGACCACTCCAACAAAATCAATGATGAAGGCAGATATTGCAGACACTTCTCCATCGCCGATGAACAAACCTAGGTCATCGAAGAACCTATCCGTATCCTGGACGCGATGGAGTATCAGGCGAACCTCCTCAACCTCTTTCTAACCTCCTGCTCTGATATATGCTTAGCAAAAGTTTTACTCCACTCCACCCAATAAGCACGTCGGACCATTTCCTAATCAGTGTCCAGATTAATGCCAAACCTAAGGCATCTCCTGATGTACCGTTCTAGAGAAGGATTTTCGTTATGCGAAGGCAGACTTTGACAGCTTTCAATCCCAAGGGATTGAAGCCTTTCACCCCACCTTTAAGTATGAGTTAAGTCACTCAAAAACTACTGTCCCCGTCCATGAACGGATCTTTTGTGGAATCGAGAGTTTTATGCCCCAAAAAGATTCCAGCAAAAACTAAACAGCATTGCTTCACTCCTGAATGCGCTACATCCATAACTTACCGAAATCACTACTTCAATATGTGACACAAGGAGTGTTATAGTTTTTTTTTATAGTTTTTTTTTGTATATATATATATACGTAACTAGTGAGTTAGTCAAAATGACTTAATTCCCTTTATAGTCTACCAATAGAAGATAGACCAATCAGAAGCCGCAGAACATTGTAGCCGTCGTGTATAAAGGCGGCCATCTTTGTTTACCCTACCGGAATGACCAGAGCCAACTTGTCAGGCGAACACGACAGAAGGAAGAACTACGCTCTGCTACTTTGCTGTGATATCTACTGCGAACCTGAACTACGCTTTCCTACTGTCTCCGAAATATTCACTGCCAACCTCTGGATTCTATACTCGAAGACGACCGTCATGAAAATGTCTAACAAGGAGAGATGTAGTTTGGCCGTTATTACATTTAGAACTGACCACAATGATTGGAAAAACTTCTAGAAAACGCCAAGTGCAGCTATGCACATGCAGCCAAGCCACGGATGAAAAGAAACAAATTGGACCTCGTGAATTCTGAAAGAACACCAACCAACAATGAACAGAGGTAAAGCGGCTGTGTCCAGTATTATAAATGGCCTCAAGGTCATATTTCCCTCGACAGAAAAGGCGAACATCTTCGTCTCAAACCCAACTATTGGACGACAAAGATCATCGCTCCAACTTCCCACGTCTCACTGGACACAATCTCGGTAATATTACCATTACAGCACGAGAAGTCTCTAGATTTATGAAAGGACATGACCTTAAGAAATCCACTGGTCCAAACATAATTCTAGTGGTTGGCCTTAAGACTATCAATCCGTAATTATCTCCAATACTAACGACGTTAATCAACCACTGCTTGAAGAAGTAATCTTTCTCAAGCCTGTGGAATGTGCCACGCGTGCGATTTCCCTCTTCCCTGTACTGACCCATCAGTCTCCTCAGTATCATCAGTAAATATTTTGAGGTCATAATCAATAAGAAGGACTTCGAGTACCTAGAAAAAACAACCTCTTCAGCGACGAGTAGTATAGGTTTCGATCACCCCGTCCACCACTGACGTTCTAACACTGCTCATAGAATCAGTGAGGCTTTTGACGACAAACACCTAGAGGACCATAGCATTAGATATCTCGAAGGCCTTTGGCAAGGTGTGGAACAAGCTCTCCAATTATGAAATCACCGGAA